TGACATTATACATAGACTAAAATTGAAATATCGCATTTGGAAAAACTCCAAAACAAAAAATGTTAATGTTTATACCGAATTTAGCAATCTTTGGGCTCATATTAAAAGGGATATAAATCACTGTCATTACAATTACATTCCGAATATTGAACAGCAAATAAAATCTGACCCTAATAAGTTTCGTTTTGGTCTTATCTGAATTCAACGAGTCTCCAGTATCCCTGCTAGTATAAATTTTAACAATGCAGTTTTGAACGATCCTAATGATATTGTGAATGCATTTGCTATGTTCTTTCAATCTAGTTATATTATCTCCTTATCTCCAAAGTATGACGTTCCCCTTACAATGTTAAATTGTTCGTCGTTTAGTGTTACTACCTTCTCCGAGACTCAAGTGTTAACTGCCTTAAAAAAGTTAAAACCAAAACTCACCGCTGGACCTGATGGTCTGCCGGCCTTCTTGTTTAAAGATTGCGCAACAATATTTGCAAAACCGTTATGTTTTCTAAATAATATGTCACTAAGTGTAAGTAAATTCCCCGATATTTGGAATTCTGGTCGAATTTGTCCCATCTTTAAAAAGGATAACAAAAGTGAAGTCGAGAATTACCGTCCTATTACTATCGTCTGTAATGTCTCCAAAGTCTTTGAAATCTTGCTTTATGAGGGTCTGTTTTCGCATGTAAAATCAAATATATCCGTTGCGCAGCACGTCTTTTATCCCGGTCGATCAACAGTTACTAATTTGATGTGTCTGACGCAATATACATATAATTGGATAGCGATGGTCAGGTAGATGTCATCTATACTAATTTCTCTAAAGCATTTGATCGGCTGGACCGTGCTATTGTCAAAATTATCAAACTTCGGCTTAACTAAACCATTTGTTAGCTTTTTCATCTCGTACCTCTCTCAAAGGAAATTGACAGTGGAGTATCGTGGTTGTCGATCAATAGAAATAAATGCTACCTCTGGGATCCCTCAAGGATCGGTTCTCGGTCCGCTATTATTTCTAATCTTTATTAATGACATTGTCCAGAATCTGAGTTGTGAGGCCCTTCTTTATGCAGATGATCTCAAATTGTATCTGTATGTGTCAGATATTAATGATTGTGTCAAGCTACAATCTAACCTAGAAATTTATAATTGGTGCTCTATTAATGTATTACCTCTGAACTTCTCGAAGTGCAATTTTATGTGTTTCACAAGGAAAACAAACCCTATTTATTACTTTTAATTATGAAATTGATAGTAAGCCCATTAGGAAATGTCGTATTTTTAAAGACCTCGGGATAACCTTTGATGAGCTTAGTTTTGTCGAACATATTGACAATATATAACGTGAAGCTTATAAAATCTCGGCTTTGTTCTAAGAAACTCAAGACAGTTTTCTGAAACTTATACTACTTCGCTGCTGTTCAACGCATTCGTTTTGCCGAAACTGGAATATGGATCACTGATATGGTGCCCATCCTCTGAAATCCATGTAAAAAAGTTAGGGAACATTCAACGTAAATATGTTGAATACCTATGGTTCAAACTGGATAACATATATCCACCTCAAAGGGTATCACAAAACACTTTACTATAGTCTGTTTAGAAATGAAAGAGAGTAATAAAAGCTTATTATGTATGCAAATTGTAAATAAATGTAGTACTGTTGCTTATGTTCAATATTTTTATATTATGTATTATCGGTATAGATGAGGTGTAGCTAAAATTTAATCACCGACAATCCGTCTTTGTCTATGCCGCTTCAATTTCTCGGTCCGTTTCTTTTATATGTATATAGTATAAAAACAGCATTTCAAAACATGAGGCTACTTTAAGCATCATAACCGGGTTAAGAGGGTATTTAGTAATTCAAATAAAATTATTCAATATTATTATCAAAATATTTATTTAAATTTAATGAATAGACTTTTATTCCACACAAAAATGTATGTATTTTGAAAATTCAAATTATGGTGAGTAAATGTAGTGTTGTATAAATGCACAATAAAAAAAATAAAAAAGTAGGTATTTTAAAATTCATCCTCTGAATATTCTGATGAATTATCTTCGTCTCCTAGATTGATAACGATAGGTGCCTCAGTAACGTCAATTAAATTATCGAGTTCCCACATTTTCTCCTCTTCTTTTTGTACATGATGTATACATCTTTGCCAGTTATCTGCAGTTACTCGTTCCAAGGAATTTTTTAACAAAATTTTCACGTCACAATTTAAACGTCGTATTATTTCGCGCTACATTTCCCTTTACCTGCGCCCAGACTAATTCGATTGGGTTAAGTTCACAGTGATAAGGTGGTAACTGTAGTACCGTTATTTGGCGATTTGTTGCCATTTCATCGATAACATATTTTTTCTGATCTTTATTAAGATTGACTTAAGTGTCACTTAAGTGAGATTAAGTGTCAAAAGTTCCTTTTTCACCATATTTGTTTCAAAAAATGTTTTTCCGGATAACCATTAAATTATATCGGCTTTCCTCCAAGCAGTCGTAGGCGTCCGCTCGGTCTGCCGTGAATGGTAACTGGCATTATCCATGACAATTATAGACCCCGGAGGAATAATATCCAACATCTGTGTAAAATACTCTTCGAAAACATCTGCGTTCATGTCTTCGTGATAGTCACCTGTATTTTTAGATTCAAGTAAACCGCCATCTACAAAATCACTGGCACTACCTATATGTGTCACTATTAATCTTCGCCCATTACCTGAAGGTGCCTTGAACCCTGTTGAAAGTCCATCCAAAAATGCTTGTCGAAAACTTTTTACATTTTTATCTTGCCATACTCTTGTTACAGTATATCCCTCGTTGACCCAAGTTTCGTCTAGATAATAAATATTCCTCCCTTCGTCACGGAATTTTCTAATTGATCTTAAGTAGGATCTTCGCCAACAAATAATTTCATCTTTATCGATAAGAACTGACTTCCTGTTCTGCTTTTCCCAGCAAAAATTCAACTCTCGTAAGACGGCCCATAATTTGCTTCTACTGATTTTTGGCAAATCGTTGTCCTCTGAAAGTTCACTTAAAATTTTGTTTACCGTTGGTATTTCTTTTTTAAAATAAAATGAGTGTACTTTTCTGCGAATTACATTTTTGAAGAAATCATCTATAACGACTTTTGACCTCCCTGTAGATGATTTTGGGGGATTTACAGTATCTTGTTCATTTTTTGTTTCCTTTAAAAGTCTGTAGATAGTCGATTTTCCAATCCCTGTCATTTTGGAACAATTTTCCACGATATCGTCAACACTGTTGGTAGGATTTTGGTGTTTCAATGCATTAAATACATTTAATATAATAATCTCATTCTGAGACAGCGCACATCTTTTCACGCGTTTAGCAGGTACGTAATCTGATAAGCTCGACAATTTACCCAAACAATATTATATCCACTGGCACAATAGTCACTAAACACAAGTCGAATTTTACTCTACTGCACTAGCACGTCTTCGTATATTCAGCTCTAAGACTGGATTTATCTGTCACAATACACTAGCTCCTGCCCTATGATGTATCCAGTAAAATATACTAATGTACACCCTTTATCTGTTAGCATTAGTGTTATCCGATAGTTACCTGAAACGAAATATTACCACGCCCATGGCCGGTTCTTATCTCGAGATTTTATTACTCTCTTTCATTTCCTACTACTACTATAAGACGGTTCCATCTTAATGACTTAAGTAAACGATGTATTCATTCATTGGTCATGCTTCATAAAATTGTAAGCGGAAAAATCGATTGTCAAGACTTACTAGCTGCATTATATTTTCACACTCCTCATTCTGCCACCCGTTTCTCAAGACTTTTTTTATTTTCCCACCCCTAAAACTAATCTGTTAAAATCTTCACCTTTGTATGTAATGGATCTTAATGATCGTCAGATACAAAATTCTGTGGATATTTTTCATGATGCATCAAATAGTGCAAGAGCTAGCTACGTGTGGACTGCACTGATCGACTATAGTCATGATTTTTTGTTAAAAGTTTCTTATCACATTGACAAAGCCAGAGCCCGTCAGTCAGTCAGAAGTTTTGTCAATAAAAAAATAATCGAATATAGTCATGAAAACTGGTACACTTATAGATTTTAAGTGGATAAACATAGAAAAAATATTGTCAGAAGGCTAGGTGATGGCTTAAGCGCTCTCAGAAGCGATAAAGTAGTGAACTGAAAAATAAATCACAATATATAGTTCTGATATTTTGTTTATTGTTAATTTATAATGCAAATAGACTATCTGTAAAGTTACAGAAGTTAAAAGTGAGGCTAATAGCCAAAAAAACATTATTGATCACCGCACGTGCAAATTTTGCCCTGGATGCTACGCCCGCCGTTTTTATTCTTTTATTGTTAAGAAATGAATAGATATAGTTCAGGCGATTTACATAACCAAACTTTACGCGTTTAACCGCCCGCACACGCTCTCCGCTTCTAGAGCGACTTCTGACTGATGGGCTGTGGCTTTATCAATGTGAAAAGAAACTTTTAACAAAAAATCACCACTATAGTCGATCAGTGCAGTCCACACGTAGCTACCTCTCCGTTTAAAACAAAAAGTCTTTACAAATTAGTAAATTATATGTTATTTATACATGTGTAGGTACTACTTATATATTTGTTTTTCTCTTATTCGTTTTCTTAGTTTGTAACATTATCTGCAATCATTTGTTTTATACTTATACATAGGTATATTCATTTCTTTATTTGTCTTAATGTTATATTTAAGTGTTTTTTTTTACTAAATCTTAAATAGTATTCTCACTCATTAATTGGCTTAGGCTGTCGAGTGGTGTATGCTAAATAAATAAATAAATAAGTAAATAAATAAATAAATAAATGATCATGCAAATACCCAACGACTAGTGCATGTGATGAATACTATCTAGCATCTTCTCTATCATGTGAGCATTTTCAGATATCTGTCACTTTAACTTTCACGTCAAAACATGGCTCCAGCCCTACAAAATTCCCAGTAATAATGACACCCATTTTTGGAAGACTCATCAGCAAAATCTCCAGTGGAGTGAAACAGGATAGTGCCAAGACTTGTCGTTATCTGGCTTTATTCAGAAAAACAAAAAAGGTAAGTGATGTAAGTTCATATAATGATCTCTTGTATCACCGTGGACTGTAGATCTTACTGTACTAAAGCACGCTGACAGTTGTAAAACAGACGAAGCAGTGGTTATGATGGACCTCATATGGTTCTCTTCAAATAATTAGTAAATGAGAATACAATTATTTTTTTGATGGTCAAGTCTCGAAAAAGTTTACCGACAGATTCAAGACAGAGGCAGATCTGCATTAGCTTCTAGAGAAATGTGCCATGATACATAAAACAGCGTACTCAAATATGCACAGCGAGTCAGGTCGCTTTGCACGCGGTTTTCTTCCACAGAATCACCTCACGTGTGAGCATAAAATGTGTCAATGCACTGCCTCGGTTAGAGTGAGATAATTTTGACAAGCTGATGTGAGTTTCTATGACATACTAAATGATTCGTTGGTAATTAAGTCAAAGAATGATCAAGCTTCTTGTAAAAGGTCCTGAGTCACAGGATTTCCAAAAGTTATGGATACCTTAACAAGCACTTCAACAGAATTAGTTTGAGTATCAAAGTGAATTGCAGATTATGTTAACAGGAATACGAAAACACCATACGCACCTTCTGTAGTGACAGTGATGCCTGATTACTGGTAAAAATTCGTAGAGTCCCATTGTTCTAGTGAAAATTGTAGTTAAAGATGGCATTAATTCCGAAAAGCACAATTTTTTTAATGGGGCTAGTTCTTTTCCAATAGATGAGGGAAATGGCCGGAAAGCTGCAAACAAACTTATTTCGTGAATAACTTGAAAAGTGTTAAGAATTTCACAAACATACAGAGGACCAAAGTATGTATAATATTTTTGAGAAAATTGAATTATGTCCCATAATTTTAATTAGAGGGGCAAGTGGATGAATGTATTATGTTATTATTAGCTTATATCTCGGGTATTCTCACGAAAACGATTTTAAGTAATTTAATTTTAAGTAAATTTTGTCACATGATACGTTCATCCACTCTAAAAATCCATGACAAAGTGTCAGTATACTTATGAAAGTCTGTGATATGATACAGTGATACAAAACATGTTCGTCAACTAAATATCTCAACTTTTCGGAAATTGTAACATAATATGTTCATCCACTTGCCCTTCAATTCTTTATTGAGAAAATTTGGGATGGAGCTGAAATAATGTTAGTCCAAGCGTTATAGAGAAATGCTTACAGAAATCATTACCTGGACAAAAAAAATAAGACCCTATAGAAAATTAAATTTTAAATTGAGTTTCTTGTTCTTTAAACTTGATCCAATATGGCGAACATGTTAAAAAAAAAATTAATCACAAAGTTGAAAAAAATATTTTTTTTTCTAAAATAACTAAAAAAATATAGCACGGATTGAAAAATTTTAAATGCGAAAGTTGTAGGTTTTAAAAAGATCTATCGACTGATTTTTTGAAAGTACCGATTGCTTTGTTACTTTTCGAGATATATCGAAAAAACCGTTAAAAATCTTCTCTTTTCTCTTCTTCTGTAACTCGTTTATATTTACGTGCCCATATTTGCTATTTACTGCAAGCATAGCCCGCGGCAAGCCAAAAAAGTAAATTTTTAAAAAATATAAAAATATTAATTATTTTTCGATATATTGATTTTTTTAAAAAAAGGCGCTCTCGAAAACTGGCTAGAACTTCTCAGCGGATAGCCCTACAGTAACGATTTTTAGTTTATTTTCTTCGTAAAGAGTTATATTATCATGCTGTTAAAAAATGTTGACGATTTTATTAATTTTAAGAATCAAAAAATTACTGAGTTGAGACTGAGAGAAATTACTGAGAGAAAAAGTTGCACTTTTTGGGGTATGTTTTTTTCAAATTACTATTTCAATTTTTATTTTATGAAAATGACTTTTAAAGAAAGAAAACTAAACATTTACGGGTCTATTTTGCTTCTAAGGCGAAAATGCTATAATAGTCGTGTTTAGCTACCCCAGATTAAGAGATAAGAGATTCGTAGAAAATTGAGGATTTATTACACCTGGAATGTTTTTTTTAAATGTACTTCATAAAATATACCCTTAATCCGGGCGAATTAGATCAAACACATGCCTGTTTCAAAAATCGGGCCTAACTCGAATTTTATGGACCTAAAATTAAGTAAACAATACACAGAATAAAGGCCTAAATTTGTGTATTTGTCTAGGTCGAACGTCATATTATTTCTAAGAAAAAATAATAATTGCTCTTTTTTCAGTTTTTGGCTTATATCTCCGAAAATAAGCCTCTAATCGACTGAGGTATACTTAACGATTTTGTTCCTGAAATTTACTACAAGGATAGGCTTTTGCGAAAGCTCGCAATTTTTTTTTACATTGCAAAATTAGCGGTGAAAAAAAATGTGCAAACTTTTCAGAATTAAATAAAAAGAACAAATTTGACTGAAATTAGATGAAACTACAGGAAAGATAACTGTTGGGGTGCTCAACAAATACCCGCATTGCGGACCCCCAATTTCAAAATAAAATGTTATTAAAAAAGAACAAAAAACGGTAACTAGGGTCCTTATCTCGGCGATTTTTTAATATACAGATTTCAAACGAATTGCATCAAATAGATCCGACCAATAGGAGCCGAGATAATTTTTTTTAAACGGTTTTGGCTGCTCTATTTAATATTTTGTAAAATTTGGGCTCGTTGTAAAGTAGAAGACTGAACTTTTTTAAATACATTCGACCAAGAAGTGACCAAGGTTCGTTAATGACAGCGTGATCAGCGCGGTGGCCCGCACGGCTGAGCGGTAGCCAGAAGAGGAGAGCGCTATGACGTCACAGTGCCCATGCTGCGCTCGACTTTTTCAAAATTCTTACTTAACAAATAGATTGTGGCACTTAGAAAGCGGCTACCGGGATGCCTTTTTTAAACCGACTTATTTTTTTTCTGCTCTTTCGAATGGTGTAAGCAAAAGTCTGTGAAAGTCATCATCAGACCCCGAAAAATACATTTTTATTGACTTTACACGTTTTCTTTTGTAATTTCATTATACTTTCGATATATTGACAAGTAAGAAGTTTTTTTTGCGTATTTAAAAACAAAAGTCAATTATTTCTTTGGAAAAAGTGATTAGTAGGTACTCTATTTGCTGTGCTCAGAAAATAAACTGTTATTGCATAAATTGTGTCTAGAATATTATTAAATGTTACAATATTAACATTAAGTAACAACAGTAAGTACTGCATTTTATAGTATTTAAAGGAACTGTTATGGCGGTTTTCCACTAAACGGACAGTTGAGTTTATGTCCTGTTCGTGTTTTCTAGAACAAAACAAAAACAAAACTGAAACAAACCCAAAACTCTTGTTTTCATCAAGCGGGCAACATTTTGTTCGAGTTTTATTTTTGTTTTCAGTCCTTTTCCACTGGTTGTCGCGAGGAAGTCAGAACACATTTTTCCAATAACTAGCCAACATGTTTAGAGACGATTTTTTTATTCTTAGTTATGGCTGGTTTATACTGAAGTCCTTAGAAAAAAAGTTTGTCTACAGAGTGTCCCACCTCGAACTCCATCGATGGATCTCTGGTAAACCGCTCTAAGTTTTTTTTTTGAAATTGTGATGGAGTGATACGGACCGTGGGGCCCACCAAGTTAAAATATTTTCAAGGTCATCGTACTTCCGGTTACACCGGAAGTCGATACTAACTTTCTTATTTTAAATGGAACCCCCTGTATCTTATTGCATTTTTGGAAACATTTTTAAGTTGAAAACATATAGCACACTCCATACTTAGGTTTGACCGTTTCCGAGATATTTCGATTTTTAAACAAAAATTGACACATGCAGACTGGTAGCAAAATTTAGTTTTCCCGGTTTATTTTTTTGTACAAATTGGATATTTTGTAGACTTCGAATTTGACATGAAAATTTTCCAGTTTTTATACAGGGTGGTCAAATTTTTTTTATCGAGTATGAAGTTCAGAATATGTGGAAAACTCGAAATTTTTATTTTAAATGGAAACCCGCAATTTTTTTGCAATAATATACAGGGGGTTCCATTTAAAATAAGAAAGTTAATATCAACTTCCGGTATAACCGGAAATACGATGACCTTGAAAATATTTTAGCTTGGTAGGCTCCACAGTCCGTATCACGCCATCACAATTTCAAAAAAATCCTTCGAGCAGTTTCCCAGATATCCATCGATGGAGTTCGTGGTATTATGTACGGTTAAAGTGTTTACTTGGTTAGTTAGTTACTTTGTATCCTAGCCAAGCAAACACTTTAACCGTACACATATACATTTTTTAATAGCTATAATTCATTAATGATTAAAATATTGTTTTTGGGAAGTAGTCCAGTTAAGCCAATAACAGGCTAATTTGCTTACAAAGTATTTTATCAGGAAAAAAAGTTATTAACAATTTAATCGCGAAAAAAATTTTTTAGTAGTTTTCTTTAAATAACTCAGCGGGATGACTTTGTGCGAAAAAATGCTTAGGACATGATTTTGTTCGTAATAAAAATAGCTACAAAATGGCGGTGGTCCGATTACGAAATTTGCAATAACAAAGCCGTGAGATTGAAAAAACGGTATAAAACGCCAATTTTTTTTAAGTTGCTGTAAAAATGTCATTTATAAACAAAAAGTGATAAAACTTTCGAAAACTGTAGTTCAATAATAATGACGCTAAAACCGAAAATTAGGAGAGCAAAACTTTTTGTTCTATAAGGTGTTATACATTCATCGGCATCTGAAACTCGAAACTTTGCCAAATTTGTTCGAAGTTTTTCTGACACTTGAAATTTGGTACACACATAGTGTAAATATGCAGAAACCAAAAGCAATTTGCAAAATTCAAGTATCTTCATTTTTGCAGCTTTGGTAAGGTTTTATACGTCACCCTAGTTTTATACGTCACCGTTTTTTTAATTTTTGGACGTATATTTATGTATATTTATAAAATATTCCATTATGGTAGATTATCCAGCATAATTACCTACAATTTAAAAAAATATATATTTTCATCGTTTAGATCCTAAGCTACTTAACATTTTGCGCCTGTTAGCCGTAGTCGTACATAATTTAACATATTAATATAAAACAAAATCGTACGTGTGGGGTAAACCTTTAACTTTTCATTTTCGAGCGCGAGCTCCGCTCTTCGGCGCTTGTATACTGTTAGAAATATGCAACAGTAAATTTAAACAATTGTTTACTTAAAGTTAAAGATTTACCCCGCACGTACGATTTTGTTTTATGTTAATATGTTGAATAATGTACGACTACGGCTAACAGGCGCAAAATGTTAAGTAGCTTATGATCTAAACGATGAAAATATATATTTTTTAAATTGTAGGTAATTATGCATGCTAATCTACCGTAATGGAATATTTTATAAATATACATAAATATACGTCCAAAAATTAAAAAAACGGTGACGTATAAAACTAGGGTGACTTACCAAAACTGCAAAAAGTAAGAGTCTTGAATTTTGCAAATTGCTTTTGGTTTCTGCATATTTACATTGTGTGTACCAAATTTCAAGTGTCAGCAAAGCTTCGAACAAATTTAGCAAAGTTTCGAGTTTCAGATGCCGATTGATGTATAAAACATTATAGAACAAAAAGTTTTGCTCTCCTGATTTTCGGCTTTAGCGTCATTATTGTATATATATTGAATTATAGTTTTCGAAAGTTTTATCACTTTTAGTTTATAATTGACATTTTTACAGCAACTTAAAAAAATTGGCATTTTATACCGTTTTTTCAATCTCACGGCTTTGCTATTGCAAATTTCGTAATCGGACCACCGCCATTTTGTAGCTATTTTTATTACGAATAAAATCATGTCCTAAGCATTTTTTGTACAAAGTCATCCCGCTGAGTTATTTAAAGAAAACTACTAAAAACAATTTTTTTCACGATTAAATTGTTAATAACTTTTTTCCTGATAAAATACTTTGTCAGCAAATTAGCCTGTTATTATACTCATCATTTAAAGTAGACGTGTGTAGTTATTTCCGAGTTATCAAGAAAATGTCACCAACAGTAACTTTTTGGCCTCTGCCGACTGGAGTAAAGAAGAAAACGCTGACATAGATATATTGGGTTGGATCACTTATCTAGAAAACACAACACGACCGTTTCCACTAAACAGACTTGAGTTTCAAAACACGTCGAAACCTTTTGATGTGACCGCTTTCGAGCGGGACCCAAAAAACAAAACTCCAACTGTCGCAAAACACGCCAGTCTTCAAAAAGATTGCGAAAAGTTAGTTTTGTTTTATTCGACACAAGTTTGTGTTTTGTTTTTGTTTTGTCCGTTTAGTGGAAAACCGCCTTTACATTCAATTCTACCATATTTTATTTAATTAATTGTCTTTTCTTAATACCTAACTATTTAATGTATAATATATTTTAGGCCAAGATGAATTGTTCAAGTTAATAGTTTACGTTGTATAGCACGTGATATGAATGTGGCAAAATGACAAAATTCATCTAAGTCTAAAATATATTATACCTACATTAAATATTTATTTTATTTACTATTCTTCCAAATTATAAATTCATGTACTTGTATATACTGAGACACAACATTTAGATGTTTTCTCCGGACTGGAAGAAAAAAAATGTAGCCAGCGCTTATAGCTTAAAAATATGAATGAAATAAAATACAGGCAAATTTTTACCTATACTCGACGGCCAAAATTATAGATAGTGATTCATCGCTAGCTCTTGGACTAGTAAGGGCGATGAAGCGTGCCGGGAACGAAAATCCATTGGCGTGTCTTCGTAAAAGGCAGCAAGATATATAAAATATTGAAAAAACATAATAAAACATAACATCTAATATTTTTTACGGTTTGCTGTAACCGGCACTTTGATCAATTTTAATTATTACAACATTTTAAAACATCCCAGTTGTGTTTTTTTAATTTATAAATTTATTATAGCCATGGAATTAGACCCCTCGTCTACGCTTATGCTATGACGTTTCTCAGGTCGGGCAAATCAAGTCCGTTTACACCCACTAAAAAAGCATTTCCCTATTCCCTACCAAGTGCAAAAGACAGAGATAAAATATAGATCGACGTTCAGTGTAACTCAGTCTATACACGATTATAGATTCTACCGATGTGCATGGCGAGCGGCACAAAGATAAATAATATTGAACCGTATAGAAATCATTTTATATTTTATACGCATTATGGTAATAGTGTTTTTATACTATGTATTAGTCACTCTTTATAATTTCGGCCGCCGAATATAGATCGATTCATACAAAATGCATTTCGTTTGGTTTTATATTGCTAAATATTTGCCCAATTTGTTTAGTTGATTAGTCATTCCATTAACTTTCTAAAAAAGCACAAGTTCGACTGCCAACTAAGCTCCACTCGTGATGATCTCACACAGTTTTCTTAAGGAAGGAATTATTTTTCCCTGTAAAATAGCACATATAAGGAAAGTTTGAAGGTCCTCCTTACAAACAAACTTTGTTTCATGCATTTTCTTTGACAAACCAAAGAGTAGTCGAACATTTCGTGGAGCGCCGCTTTGAAATGGCTGATTTGCATAAGAATCGTCATTTTATGTAAATCCCTAAATATATTCTAAATAACGCACTGTACGAAAAAGTCAACAGGAACCTTTTTTGTAGATATTTTTATGCTCTACAAATTTGATCCTTTGCATGTTTGCGAAATTCTCAATACTTTCCAAGTTATTCACCATAAACGTTTTCCGGCCATTTTCCGAATTTTCCCGGTCCGCTCCCGTGCAGAACAATATTTTTCCTCATTTACTAACAAAATACTAGTTACGTGCAAAAAATTGGGCAACACTCTTTCACCATATCAGAGCTAGTGCTTGCCTTAGTATCTACGTACTGTTTTAAACTTTTACTAGCGGCATACATAACGGGTCACAAAACAATGCTGAAGGTCACTGCGCGCCTTCTACTGCAGTAACCTACTAAAATGTCTGACTAACACTGTTTAGTGAATATATGCACTTATTTTTTAGAAGGAAAATCTTTCGCCTTACATCATCCTCAGAGCTACGAAGGACGACCACCTGAAAATCCTCAAATTGATGCACGAATGCTACTTCGTCGACGAGCCGAAATGCTACTCTCTGGGAGTGAATCACAATGCCATCTTGGACGAACAAACCATGAGCAGTATGTCTCAAGGTATGACCCTCGTGGCGCGGTGCAAGTACGATGGTTCCATGGTTGGCGGGTGTATCAATATGTCCGCGCACAGCTGGGACGCCGACATGACCGAGAAGTTTGCTTGCAGCGTGCGCTGCCCCAAAGTGCGGCAGCTGCTGCTTTTCCACGCACAGTCACAGCGCCTGCCGGACGTCTGGAAGAAGTACGACGTGAATAAGGTGTTTGAGGTAGGTTACTGTAGTGAACATTACTTAGTAGGACCACAGACAATATAGCGTATCGCCACAGACTGCTTCTTAAATGCTGGATATTGGCAACCCGAAATGGACGCAGGCTTTTGTTAGCCGGCTTCCATCAATGAAATTTAGCGTGGTAACTCTTCTACTTGGTAATAGGCGGCAGTTCCAGCGGTGGCTTTGTTGCCAAATAATAACTGCTAAATAAATTTAATGCTTCCAATTATGTAAAGAGATACGGAACTTATCTTGTGTTTGGAAATCACATTTGCCTTAAATGCTAAATAAAACGCACCGTTTCCGAGTTATACGGCCTTTTTACTATAACACGTCACACACCTCTTTTTATTTTCGACAAGCGGACTTCGGACCTTTTGCATTCAACGCAGAAGGAATATACAGAACCGGGGGGGGGAGGGGTGTTGAGATATTTCAATTATTTTTTCGATTCAACACACCGTTTCTGAGTTATAAACACTTTTTTATCCTATGATGTCATACACCGTAGGTCTCGATTTTTTTTTGACATGCAGGTTTTGACGTTTTTCACCCGTTCAGCATGGGAGATTATTTGATACTTAGAGTCCAAGCAAATACTGTCTTTTTTTCTTTCATATATTGTGATACCCCGCTCTGCGTCACCCACCGAGTGCTCTACTCAGAACCAAGAGGATATGTGTATATATTTGCAACCATTTCCGAGTTACGAGCAAAAACCGTTTTTTTTTTCTTATACTGTGTGACATCATAGATCGATAACGAAGGCTAAAAAGGCCACGCGCTCTACCCAACGCTCCCACTTAGGCGTCCTGAAATTGCTGGAGACACTTCTGAAGACAGCAGAGAGAGAGAGAAGCCCTCTATGAGGACAGTGTCACTCTATCTCTATCGCACACTATAACTCTATCTCTCTCGCAAACAATCAGACAAAAACGACAGAAACGAACCTTCTTTTAAAAATACATGGGATTTATCATTATTAGAATAACCCATTTTAATTTAAAAAATTAAAAAAATTACAATGGGTTATTCTGGTGACGAAAAATAAAACATAATTAACTGTATTATTCAAATAACAATAATGTGCAAAAGTTCTTCAGGAATATTGGCAAATTTATTTTGGTGGAAAAATCCCGTCAACGAACACGAACTGAAAATTTACAAGTATTGAAAGAAAAAATACAGGACGAAATGCTTGATAATTTTGAATTTGTTTTTGAAGCAATTAATAGTAAATTAAAACATATTTTCAACTTAACATCACAATTACAAATCAACATGATTTGTAAAAATTGTAGGTATTTTAATGTTATTTAGTTTTTAGGTATTCTCCTTATGTTGTTGTAAAGGTTAGTTATAAAAATCTTTGTTTGTTATTTTCATAAGGATGAATTTTAATTTTTTTAATGATTTTTTAATTTTAAACATATATATTTTATGCCAGCAAATTTTGATGCCAAATGAAATAAAAGAAAAGTCGTACATTTGTATTTAAAGTTTCTTTCTATCTTTAATTATTAAACCTATAAGTGGATGTCAAAATACAAAAAAATATCCTGTACCTACATTCCGCGAAGTACTAATAACCCACCTTGTATATTAAATAAATTTATCGTCATCATCAAATATTAAAAAAAAAATTATATTACAAGCTGTTTAAAATATTACGAATTTTGTTTATTTGGAAATATATTTTCTGCAGTTTTTCAATACCAAAAAATGAAAATAGTAGGTAGGTAGCTAATTAACGAAATTATGATTAAAAAACTTAATTGTAACACCGCTGCAGAATATCATATGAAACTACATAGATATTCGTTGATTCTTTAAAAACATTTTTAACAATACCTACATCATAAATTTAAGTAAATACAATAACGCAAAAAACAAATATTGATAAAAAAAGTGTACAAAATAAATCCGTAAGTAGGCCTGGCAACATTACCAAAGTCTTGTTTATATGTTGCTAGGATACGCGTAGGTATGCGGGCCGCTGCATTTGATTATTCCTAAAATTCTGCTGGTGGTGTACTCTATCGGCAATTCGGAAATTTAAAACTGCTCGCCTATTCCAGTAGCGGTCTGTGGCGATAGCTATTTTGTCTGTGGTAGGACATATAGTACAGTCATTGAATGAAGCTAAAAATCAGCTATAACTTCCGAATTCTTTGAAATTGCATGGATTTGCGTGAAGATTTAGAATAAGGCTTATCTTAGGCTCAAGTTCAAAAGTGACATAAGCCCGATTGACACTTTTTGTTTTTTAAAAAACTGCCCCAAAGTGAAAAAAATAGAAAAAATTAAGTTTTAAGCATTTTATTGATAAAAATCTTGTTCAAGCACAAAGATTAAATAATGTTCCATGTTCTCGAACATGTTTTATGATATATTTGATCTTTTCGACCCTTTATTTAAACCTTAAAAACTACCCCTACGCAAAAAATAATGATAAAAAATTAATTTTTAAAGATTTGGAATGATTAAATCGTGTAATTATTTAAAATAAAACTTACCTTATAGGTAATAAAAGAATTTTTCCCTTTCAACCCCTAAAAACCACCCCTGTATTGACAAAAATGATAAAAAATTACTTTTTAAAAGCTTGGAATGCTTTAACGTGCAATTATTCAAAATAAAAATTTCCTCATTGCTTATGAAAGAATTTGATCTTATAACACTTTTCAACCCTTATAAATCACCCCTGTGCTAAAAAAATGATAAAAATGATTTAAATCTTGGAATTATTGTGCAATAATTTAAAATAAAAATTCCCGTATATTGTTTATGAAAGAATATTTTACTTTTGCCATTTTCAACTCTTGTAAACTACCGATATTAATGTAAAATATTTTTGTTGTAATCGATTTTTAAATATAATCAATCATAAAAAAAATTTCTTCGCTGCATATAAATAATCACACTAAANGTATTTCTAGGTACTTTTCTATGTTGGTTTATAATTTTCCACATAGCTTGTTGGGGATTTGAATGAGTCTTTATAAAATTGTCATTTGAAACTTGCTTAGACAAGTTAATTTGGTAACGATAGTGAGATCTAAATTGATATAAAATAACTTTATTATCAGGTGAAGGATTTCTGACATAATACTCGTGTAAAAATTTCAAGTGTTCGCGCAATCTCCGATGATGATCGTTGAACCAAAAATTTTTTCTACGAATTGTGGAGGTTGACAATCGAGATTTCATTGGAAAAACTAAGTTTATTTTGTTTGATATAATGTTAATGAAATTTAGGAAGAGCTGCTCAGTAGATGTATTAGAGTTAAATAGGGAAATCCAGTTAACGTCACATAAATACTGGTTTAAATCAACAAGACCTTTTTCGTGAATTGATCTAACAATTATATGTTTTGGGGCGATATATAGATCAATGTCTGCTTCAAGGTGTACACCCCAATGATCAGATAACAAAGTATTAATTGAAAATGTACGTAGACTTTGAGAATCAGTGTTTGAAAATATATTGTCAAGACCATTGTTTTTCCGAGTCGCACCAAAAAATCTATGTGTCATACCGTAGGATTTAAACAGATTCATGAGCGATGCAGTACGCTGGTCGTAAGTTCTAAGAAACTGGACGTTAAAATCACCCGAGACAAACAACACACCACCCCCTCTGCACAAAATATCCAAAGCTAGTGTAAGCCTGTTCAGGAATATATCAAAGTCTCCCTTAGGAGATCTGTACACTGTCATTAATTTAATATTATCCGTCTCAACGGCAGTGATCTCGCAATGCACCTCAACTGAGAAATTTGTTATCTGCTGGATTTCTTTACAGATTGTGTAAGTTGAATTAGCATAAATAGCTACACCTCCATGGTCTGAATTCGTTCTGCAATATTTTGAAACAAGATTATAGTTTGGTATACTTACAGAATCCAGCTCGTCGCTGGAGCACCAGTGTTCATAAAATAGTAGAAAGTTATAGTTGTTTTCATTTAATAAAATCTCTAACTCGACCGTTTTGTTACGAATACTTTGCACATTCAGATGCATCATTTTAAGGTTAAATTTATTATTTACATTTGGTGTAACGACTAGATTATTGTCTATATCCCTAAAAAAGCATTATCATTATCCTGAGAATGATTTGGGTTTTCTATGGTGGATCTTCTGAATTTAAATCTTTCAAAAGCAACATTTCGTGGCCAAAAATTTTGATTGTATACCATATCCTTCAAGTCGAATCTGATTCCAACCTGGAAACATTTGCAGTTTGGACGTGATTTCTCGGCTCTCGTGGGAATGTGTTTTACTAACAGCTCTTCATCGTTGGTTATTTGGGATTTTTTCTTTATATAGTTGCTAACTATTACTTCATCGACTTTATCCGGAACTCGGGATATGAATAGCCATACTTTTTTATTACGGTCATCTCTACCTATGAACTTATGAATAAAAAATAAAAGCAACATATTTGTTGAAAAAAAGCTACATTTTTGTTGTCTATCATTTTTTACCTAGTATCTTTTACAGTTTCAGAGTTATTATATAAATAAGGCAAATTTTTTTTGAATACCTAATGAAAAATACGTTTTCAACTTTTACCGTACATTATTAAAAAAATACGCATTCTAAACCGGTCTAACTTCAGGATATTATGAAAAACACTAAAACAAAACTAATTGTAAAGGGTCTACGATTAATTTTAATTCTGATGGAAATGGTACAGCATTTACTGCACATTTTTCCTTAAAAAATATGAGCAACCCATCTGTTTTTGACGATGACTCTTTCAATTTTGCTCTAATTAATTTTTATAAGTGTTCATTTTGAAGGTCTTTTTGAGTACTATAAAAAACTCCAGGAGCGTTATACACGTAGGTAAAATTAATCCTTTTTCCGTTATTTAACGTTGAATACATCGATTCGAATATTCCCCCCAAAACAAGTCTCCTTCCATTAACCATATTTCGCTTTGTATAGGACGTACAACACTTTTTTTATTTATAGGCTACATTTTTGTT